AAACACTGAAGGGGGGTCAACGCACCTCCTGCTCCAGGCGCACCCGTGCCCTGGAAGCAGTGCTACTTTCAGCAATCCCGGTAAAAAGAACAGCGGCCGCCTCGGACTTGCATTGTTCTTTTGGGTGGTCTTGTTTGGGTTCAAGCTAGGAGCAGTGCAACATGCCTTAACATTTTTGTTTCCTTTGTCCTGAAAAACCAGCCCAGCAAGGTGCCCTCAAAAGCGCCTTGGTGGCCGGGCCGCGAGCCACAAAGGGGCCGTCGCCTGCTTTGTGCAGGGACTTCAACCTCACAGACCTTCCGGGCCCCGGGCATCCTCCTTCTTTGGCAAGTCTGGCGTTGAGATTCAAATTTTCTTGCGATGGGCAAGCGTTAAAAGCCGCGAAGGAGCTGTGACTTTTAAGCTTGGGGGCCCGAGACCTAGAAAACGTGCCTTGCAATACCTGGACTCCGATCCATGATCAATACCTGCTTCAATTCATGCACAAGGTTTCGCCCCCCAATTGTGACTCTGGGTGACTCCGGCTTTCTTAGTCTGAGGGTTGCTGGTGTCCAGAGACCGGGGGTTCGTTCTTGGCTCCAGCTTCGTGTGCTGAGGCACACCATAATTTTCGGCGGTGCAAACCGTTCTCTTAGACAGCAATACCACAGCAGTTACGCCTTGTTTTGTACAGCAGTTACGCTTTCCCAGTCCTTGAGCACAGGGCTGTGCGCTTCCCAGTCCGTGGGGGCCAGAACGGTTTGTCTACACTGGTTGTATGCGATCCGACGAGCGCTCAGGGTATGAGGCGTGGGATCCCGTTGAGTTTTTGGCGGCATCCCGTTGAAGGGGCAACCTCGCCAACCTGACCGTGTTGCTTGGAGGTTCCCCTGTTTCACCCAAGCGTTTTCACTTTCCTTTGTACGCACCGTTTTTACTTTCGTGGGCCTCGTGTGTCAAGTTCCCTTGCGCAGCGCATGCAAGCTCACAGCTGTGCACAGAGCTTATTCCGTGGGTGTGGGAGCTTTCCGTTGCATGTTGGTGAAATTCACCTTTGCCAATGCCCTGACCGTGCCCTGACGGTTGCGCCAGGAAGGTGAACTTAGTGATTGCAGCTTAGTGCCCTGGCCGTTCTTCCAGTGTCTACCCAATGGGTTGTGCGAGCTCTGCGCAGGTGTATCCGGTTCCGAGTGAGGCGGGATGGGGAAACTAGGCAAGCTGCTCGTGTACCGCTCGGCGTTCATGTTTTAGGCTTTAGAGCTTACGACAGGAATGGTGTCAAACCAAGGTGGCATTGGGGGCTGCGAGGCTTTTGAAGCATTTTCGCATTGCTTCACTCTTAGTGCGCCAAGGCAGCGGCAAACCGAATTGGAGGACCATTGAATTCTCTGGGCTGGCTGTTTGGCTTTGGGGCTTTTGGCGGCTTTTTGAGCGGTTTCGTGAGCCCACCCTAAACCAGCCCACAAAGCAGGCGGCCGGATCTATCTCCAGTTGGGTGTCCCATAGGTATCATTGAACCATGGGTTAAAATGCTTGCATCAGAATGCTTTCCGACCAGATATAGGTTGGCAGTTTGGGATTGGATCTGGGCCAGTGACGTTGAATACTGGGTTGAGCTGGCGGCAAAATGAAGTGCAAACAAATCAATTTAGTGGTTGAACTTGCGCTTTTGCAAGTCGCGGAGGGTACGCCCTTTCCGCGGCCTTCCGTCGAAGACAGGGGCTGGGTGGCAGATTCACAATTGACATCATCTCCATGTCTCGGACCATGGGTGCTCCATCAAAGGCGCAGAAGGCGATAGGATCCATGGTCAAGAGCGATTCTTACTTGGGGTTAGTACGGATGGCCGTGGATGTCTTGAGGCAGCCCGCTTTAACCTGGGCTGGTTTGATTCTTCGGGACGGGTAGATATTGGCAAAGGGGTCCTTTCAGGAAGGTACTTGCGATGTAAACTTGATTGCGGTCTTTGATTTTACACGTCAGTTGAATCTCTCAGTTCGTCTTCGATTCTCGCGTGCAATCGAGGCAGGAAAGTTGCAAAGAGCACTGGCCGTGAACTCAGCCGGCGAACAACACGGTCCAAGCGACTCAAGGCATGTTTCTAGGCTCTCATAGTGCATCGCTTTCCCGGTTTAGAGAGGCGTTCAGCGAAGAGACCTGCCTTGAGTTTTCTGAATTTTACGCTCTGCCCAATCTTTCATGGTAATCAAGGATTGAACAACCATGGTTTTGGCCACGTCCTGCTGTGCGCAAGTGTTGTCAGCAACAGGTGCAGAGCACATACATGACATTGGACAGTTGCCAAAAACATGCACAGAACAGAATCACCAAGCACTAGCCGCATTGATTGCACCCCATTGTTGTGACGTCCTTTCTGGAAATGCATCGCATCTCTTTTTCATCCACTGGTTATTGCTGTAGGTTGTAATACAAGCATGACCCCGCGTATCCTGACAGTATTTGTCACGAAGAAAGAGCTTGAGCAGAGCCGTGCAGCTGGGGTTACGTTGAGATGCGCTGCCCAGCAAAGCTAGATTGAAACGCACTTGTGCAGCAAGGCTATGTTGACATGTGCTGCGTGAAGAATCTATGTTGAGATGTGCCGCAGCAAAGCTATGTTGAGATGTGCGGTGAAGCAGGGCTATGGCGCAACTTTCGTTCAAGAACTGCAAAAACACACTGGGTGTGCTGCTACTTAGAAACAGTGGTTTTGCACCAGAAGCGTGCTTCGCAGTTTTTACACCAAAAAACAGCGACTTCTGGGAAAGAGCGTGCTACTTGCAATGCGCGCCAGACTGCGCAAGCATACCGTCATACCACTTCTGCGCAGGTGTTGCAGGAACGTGCTTCGCTTACTACTTGCGCGCTTGATCAATTCAGCACCTCGTGTGAAAGCTTGGCGCGTAACTTTCCGCAAGAAAACACGCCTGCTCCGCAACAAGAGCGATTTGACATGCACAGTCGCCGCAATGGGTTCATCGAGCTAAACACCTGGCACGGCGTCAAGGCGATCGCGCTTCAACACGCGCGATCCCCTTTCAGCGTGGCCGGCAACCCTCTGTGCCTGTCGTGCGCGTCCAAGCGCTCTCGCTGTGACTCTGTGCGGATCGCGCGTGTCAAGGCGGAGTTGTCAGCGAAAGCGCTTCGACGCACGGGGCCGCTGCAGAGAGTTTTGTCCACCAGGTTGAAAACGGCTGACGTGCGACAAACTGTTAATACTGGAGGAGCGGGGGAGCGCGCGCTTGCAGCGGCGCTTGCGCAAGCGCGCTCGTGCAAGTGTGCTCCTGCGAATGTGCTCGTGCAAACACGCTTCTGCAATTTTGCTGGCGGTTCTTTCCCGAGGAACCCTTTGCCGTGCTAGCATTTTTTTCGCGAAAGAGTGGCTAAGGGTTCCAGCTCAAAACAGCTAGCGCTGTTGCCTCACAGTGTATGTCAACATAGCCTTGCTTTGCAGCGCGTCTCAGCATAGCCCTGCTGCGCGGCGCATCTCGGCAAAGTCCTGCTCAGCCAGAGCAGTTGCGCGGGTAGGGCAACTTGTGCAGAGTGACCTGCGCAGAGCAACTTGCGCAGAGGAACTTGCGCAGCGCAACTGCTAGCAAAGCAAGAGCCCTGGCGCTGGGCAACTTGTGCAGAGCAAGTTGCGCAAAGCAACTTACGCGGAGCAACACTCTCGCGCGCAAGCGCGCTTGCGGGCGTAAGTCTTCCGGGCGCCAAAGCCATCAATGCGTTGATACAGGCAGAGAAGAACCCAGACAACGCACCTGGACGGTTGACCCGGATCATCAAGGAGCAGAAAAGGGGCCCCATTGGTGGGGCAACGATTCGCGACATGATGATTCAGAAGAAGAGCTTCTTGGTCCTGGATTGGCCCCTGAGGGCTGTCAATGCAAAAGGGAGCACGAAGACCTTCCAGATGATGGTCAACGAACAGGGATGGACAAACATCGAGGAGAGATCGTACTACGGTTCGAGTGAGCAAGTCTCCTCGTCCGCGAAACTGGAAAAGCTCATCGTCGAACGACGGAGGCGAGACATAATGGATGACTCACCTGTGTCGGTGCACATTTGGATGTCGCTCTATGACTGGGTGTGCATGAGGGGGTGTGGGTGGCAGGTGACCGCCAACCCCATCATTGACTCCTTGCAAAAGACGATATCCGACCTCGTCAACACGTGCAAGGGCTTGGTTGTGGTGTGCGTGAATCGCGACGTGGCTTTCCATGGAGGAAGAGGGGACTTGGGGACGATCGCCAACAAGGTGAGCGAGATCTGCAAGGCGGCAGGCGCGTTGGTGACCGAGAACGATCGCCTGTGGCGCGTTGCCTACGCGCTCACAGGTAAGAACTACAAGATCCCTGGAAGCTCGAATCTGCAACATTTCCTCTTGAAGCGATTGTTGGTGGAGAAATCCATCGACGTGATCGCGCCAAGCAACGCGTTCGTGTGTGAGCTGGAGGAGACATGCATAAGCGAGCCCGACCTTCGCCTCAATATCCCGAAGAACAGAGGAGTCGAAGGTGAAATTCGAGTACAAGCCGACCTTCACTGCTCAATCGAAACGGAGGCAAGAACGGCAGGATGAAGGACACGGCGGACAAGATGCGTTTGGGAACACCGATGTCAACGATCAACGTCTTCGATGGTATGCGGTCACCGAGCTCAGTGAGTTAATCTGCGAGCTTTGTGTGAAAGAAATGCAGATGAACAAGTCGAAGGTGCTCGGGTCAAACTCAAAATACAATCCCACTTCTTGCGTGAACTGTTGCGCGAACTGGAATGCGGACACGAACGGTGTTGTGAGATCAACCGAAGGGAGGAAGCTGTGTACGCGACTTTTCGCAGAATGCGTGGTTGCAATCCCGGATCTTCAACATCTCACGGTGAACGTCAACAATGTTCAGGCCATGACCACGATTATACGGGAGCTTGCATATTCCAAGCTGAAGAAAGAGCTATCCCACGTGGGTTTCGTGAGCATGACAATGGATCAGGCAGCGCAGTTCTACAATAACGGACACGGGAAGCAATTGTGTGCAGGGAATTGAGGAGAGGACCTCCATCTTTGTGATAGACAGAGATCTTGGCAACGTGGCCTATTCATCCTGGATCAAGAGCGTGCTTGATCAGGGGACGATGTATGATCTCCTGGGACAAACTACGAATGAGGAGTCCTTGGGGGACGTCGTCGAGATGATATTGGGTTTCTTTGGGGTGATGTCGTACTTTCAGCACGAACTTCCATTGTGGAAAGATGCATGGAAGATCAAGAGGGAGTTCGAGCATTCAATCGTACGACACCTCGCCGGGAACGTGAGCCACACGACGGGCCAGAACCGAAAGCGGAACAAACCATCCGCCCAGCTCGGGGCGCCCACGAAAGAAGTGCTGGACATCATGAACAAGATCAAGCCCAGACATCCGCGATCCCTGACGGCCGAGCATGCAAGGATCCAAGAGGAAGGCAACAGAGAGTGAAGGTGACGGTCTTGGTCAAGTGCCAGACCCGAGCCGAAGCTCTCAGCCCAACGTTGAGAAAGAAGAGAAGAAGCAGCGAGTGATTGATGGGCGGAGAGCGGCACTCGGTTCCTAGTCTCAATGGAAAAGTGCATGGGAGAGATGGGAATTTGCATGAGATGCGCGAACCTGGCCCACGACGGCGACTGCAAGAACTATGAGGAGGCTGCTGGGAACGAGAAGGCGATGAAGAAGATCCGTGAGCTTCTCAGCAGCGATCATGTTTCCTCGGATGAAGAAATGGGGGATACGGAAGAACCGTCCTCATCGGCGTCCAAGGAACGCAAGAAAGGGGGGCAAGAAGGGAAAGAGACAATAGAAATGTATAGCTATACCATCAATCCTGGTGGAGATGGCTGACACGGCTGAGGGAGGAGAGCTACAATGCGGTGGCGTGGACCTCACCTACAATCCGTGCGGGGACAACAGAACGTTCAAGACGACGCTAGAGCGAGGGTGTGACACCATCCCATGTTACATCCCGAAGTTCGGCGACGTGAGCGATGTGCATGTGCCATGGGCGTACGCATCTATTGTTGACCCCAAGTACTTTCCCAAGGGTGCCGGCCTTGAACAGGTGGATGTGATGCAGCTTGGCAAGAGCGTCAATTTCTGCGTTGCTCCCTTTGACGGTGCTCCACTATGCAAGATTGGCGACGATCGCTCGGTATTTGCTACGAAAGATCAAGCAAACCAGCTATCTCACAACCTATGCAGAGTCCTTCGACACAAAATCGGCTTTGCACAAAATCGGCAATTGCCAAACGATACATGGGCATCATGGAAGTGATCAAGTGGCAGGAGTCCGGACACAAGAAATCGAGATTTCAGGTCCTGGCAGCAAGGTTTCCAAGCGTCATGAACCCGAATGACATGAAGGCGGCCAGGGAGGAGATGAACTATGCTGGCCTGGATCGGGATGACATCGACAGGATGTTCAACAGATGCGATGGATGGTACAGGCCTTGGTGCATCCGAGTCACAACTGGTCACAGTGATTTTGGATTCATGAGCTCATCCGCACTGGCAAATAGGTATTCTGCAAGAATGGGTGATTCTCTCGGAGGAGCATTCCATGTAACGTATGTGGAGAACCTGCCGAGCATCGTACGCTGTGGGCTAGTCCCCGGCGGGATCGATGGCGGAAACAGGCTAGCATTGCACTTCGGAGCATTCGCTCCATGGGATGAGATGAACGTAGCAACGAAGGTAAGGTCGGGGGATCCGATTGCGATCATCTACATTCCCAGTGCAACCCTCGCGCGGTATGGAGCTGGAGTCGCGGCAAATGGGACATTCATGGTCTTTGACGTGATCCCGTTCTATGAGGTCAAGTCCATTTGGATTGGCAAAAGCAACGGAGGGAAGGGTCTGGAGTACGAGGACGTCAAGCGAGCGTACTCGAAATGTGTGGAAAACGAGATCTGTCCGGGTTTCGTTGATTCATCCCAGGAATCGGCTGCGATGTTCCTACAGAACGTCGCGAAGATCAACGAGAGGATGCCTGAGACCGAGGCAGGTGCCGACAATCTGCA